CCCAATAGTTGTATAAGCTCCACTTGTCCCCCAGGGTTCTTGGGGATACTTTGTCACCTAATTTTGTTGTAAGGTTGTCCATGCATTATTAATTTGGCTATTCAGTTATTTTAGTGTGGGATTGGAGAGATTAAAAAGTATATCTACTGTCATCATCACCTTTCCAGAATTTCTTTTAACTATATTTTAAGAAAACTTTAAAATGGTATTTGAACCTGGGACTCCCTCCTAACTGAGCACATCCCTCGCCTTGCACAGTTCTTGGTTTATGGCTAGTTGCTCTTCCTCTGTGCCCAGAACTCCACTTCCATCTGTATTGTTTCAGTACCTATTCATAAATTACCATCTTCTTTTACCTCCTTAAAGCAAACTCCAGCAGTACTGAGCTATCCACTTGGGCTATCTCCAAGGTGATCTCCAAGGGTACCAATCATTGCTTTTCTCACTACACAATTGCTCCAAATTTGAGAGACCTGCTTCAATCTTATTTTTCCATAAACTCTGTGACATTTAGTGCACAGCTTTCTAGAATGTGTGGCTTTTCAGTAAAGCATATCTCATGTCATTTCAGAAAGAGCTGCATGTGTTCATGTATGGCACATGTGAAAGAGCACTTGGAAATAATTAAGGAGAAATATATAGAAAACTATGAAAATGAGTAAAATAGAAAAATTGTTAATTCAGGAAAAGCACATGGATATTGTAAGATGAAATACTCATAGCAAAGCAAAACAAATGTAAAACAGAAAGAAAAAGTTAATTTGTTATGAGTATTACACTATATTGTAAGTAAACAGGACTTCTCTTTGGGTGCCTTATATAGAAGCCATGCCCTAAGGACTTTGGGGTACCCAAAAATGGTGTAGAGGATGATGGAGTGACTGCTGCAGGGGGAGAGGGGGTTACAGTATGCTAAGAATATGTCTGAAGCTGTTTGCAAGGCAAGCTTCCTGCTTTGACTAGCAGCCTATTCAAAATGCTATATCTAAACTTTAGGCTGGCTTTTTCATAAACAAAGAAATTTATTGTTCACAGTTTTGGAGGCTGGGAAATACAAGGTCAAGGTGCCAGCAGATTTGGTGTCTAATGAAGTCCTGTTCCTTACGGTTGGAGCCTTCTTTGTGCCATCACATGGCAGAAGGTGTGCAAAGAGCTCGCTCATACTTCCTTGACCTCGCTCTCAGCGCTAATCCATTCATGCGGCCAACACTCGTGACGAAATCATGCCCTGAAGGCTCCACTTCTTAGCACCACCTTAATGCACTGGGAACGAGGTTCCAGCACATACATTTTGGGGCTAGGGGCACCATCATTCAGACCATAGCATTTCTCTTGTGTGTTGATTTGAGAAGTGGGTCAAGGCAGGGCTGGTGGAGATTGGCCGGGCTTGGGCAGATTAAGCCAGTGCCTTTACACCAGCCTGAGTCTCTCTTCCTCACTATGTCACATTAGGAAAGAAATTCAATCTCCAAGCTCCACAGTTGTCTGTGATCGAAGACAGAAATTGTGTGTAAAGTACATTTTATGATACCAGGCACCAGGTAGTTACCAGTTTTAGAATTTCAGAGGCAGAGAATAGCCTGGGTTCTGGAATCTTACATAAGCCATTGGCCACTCAATGTAACATTCTGTGATCTTATGGTTTATTGTTAGGTGAAGGTTTTGTCCTCAAGTTTCTCTCTCTCTCTCTATTTTTTTTTTTTTGAAATAGGATGGATTATGATAGGCTTCCAAAATTCCCTTGGCCCCTTTAAAGGCAGGAAAATGGCTTCCTTGTCTCATTTTTCCTGGAATCACAGCCAGAGCCCTCTCTCTGCTAGTCCTCCCCAACTATCGAAGAAGAGGAACTTCTCTGAGTACTGCCTCCCCCAGCCATAGGATAGAAACTCAGTTCTCTGCCCTTCCTTCTGACATCACCTTGGGGCCAGACTTTCCTACCACTGACTAACAGAGGAGCCCAGAGAGGTGCAAACCAGCTGTCCCCACTCCTTCTGGTGCTGAAAGGAATTAAAGGCAAATCCCACTCTAGGGTGTGGAAAGGAAGGAGATGGGGATTGGAATTCTTCCTCTTCCTCCATGTGGTAAGTCTTGGGTGTTCAGGACTCTTTTAAGGCATAGGAAAAGTGATAGTACAAGCTTGTACCAGTCTTGTTGAAAAGTTGAATTAAATATGTCAAAGACAGAGCTAATTTATCATTTCTTCCTTTCTCCCTGTTGTTCCACTTCCTTTTACATGACTAATGAGGGGGGCTGTTGAAACACTGAAAAAAAAAAACCTGCCTTCTGGATTCTGTGTCATACAGCTTGTCATTTTTCAAATCCTGCTACTCTCTACAAAACATTCTCTTCGTCTGGTTTTTCCAATCCATCATCACTATGAGGAAGCTCTGTCTAAACTCAGGTCATCTTCCGTCCAGAGCATCCTGGCCTTCCCACTTTATTTATTCATTCAATAATTAGTTCATTTATTCAATGGACAATTACCAACTCTTTTTATGGTTTATTTTTAAACTAACACATTAAACACAAAGTTGTACATATTTACGGGGTACCATGCAATGTTTCAACAGAAGTATACTATTGTGTAATGTTTAACTCAGGTTAGACATGCTTCTATCTACAAACATTTATCATTTCTTTATGATGAAAACTCTCAAAATCCTTTCTGCTAGCTTTTTTGCAATAGCACAATATTATCTAGAGTCACCCTACTATACAATAGCACACCAGAACTTCTTACTCCTATCTACTATAACTTAGCATCCATTGATCGACCTTTGCTCACCCCTTCAACCCCCAGCCTCTAGTAACCGCCATTCTACTTTCACCTTCTATAAGAATTCCCACATATTTTGTGGCCGTCTAAAACTTTCCTGAGCACTTTGGGAAGACCTCCCAAATGAAGACACTATTCTGTCATTCTGTTTAGCTTACAGCCTAGTTGGAGAAAACAAATTATTATAAGAGTGTGACTTGCATTGTCATAAGCAAAAACAATAAAAAGAATATGAAAGCCAAGAGCTCACAGAGAACGCAGTGCGTGGAAGATGGAACAAATTGGTTAAACAGAGTGGGAAGGAACACCCAGGACCCAAAGTCAATGCAAGAGTTGAGAAGGGCACAGCTGTGAAATTTGGTATGGAGCATGAAGAGAGCATGGGGAGAAATCGAATCATAGAGATGGGTTGGAGGCAGAATTTGGAATTTAATTCTGAAGGAATCTAAGAGGCAAGGGTGGTTTTCAAGCAAACAAGCAACAAGATCATCTTTGCTTTGGCAGCGAGAGAGCAACCAGAACATTGAGTTGCACAGAAATGACAATTCACTTCTGCTCACACATGAAGAATGCAATGACTGCAGCAGAAGTTCTCTGAGGACAGTGGCTATATGTTTTCCCATCTGTGTATCCCCAGAACATAGGCCATTACCTGGAAGAAAGGAGGCGCACTGATGAGCTAGACTGATCCATGAAGTGACTGCAAGGGTCATTTTCCTCTAGCTGCTGTGACAAATTACCACAAACTGGGTGGCTTGACCCACCAGTTTCTCTCACAGTTCTAAAGGCCACAAGTCTGAAATCAAAGTGTTGGAAGGACCATGATCCCTCCAACAGGTTTAGGAGAGAGTCCTTTCTTGCCTGTTCCTAACTTCTGTGGTTGTTAGCAATCTATGACGTGCCTTGGCTTATGGTTACATTGCTTCAATCTCTATCTCTGCCACCTCCTTGTCTTCTCTGTGTCTCTGAGTTCAAATTTCCTTCTTTTTATAAGTATATTTGTCACTGGATTAGGGTCCACTTTAAACCAGTATGACCACCTTAACTTCATTTATCTGCAAAAACTGTTTCCAAATAAACTCGCATTCACAGGTACCTTACCAGGAAAAAGTTCTTGAACATATTTTTAGGGGGACACAATTTGACCTACAATGAAGGGTATTGTGTCTGCTATCTTTCTGTTTTCGCCAGTCTAAAACTCACGTGAAAGGCCTCATTCCGCATGGAGCAGACTATCCCAGAGGCAGCCCAGAATTTTAAGCAATTTATAGTACAAAGTTGTCACTCTCTTTTCTAAAATTTATATGCATCCATATATCCTTCTGTTGTCTGACAGCCTGCTACGTACCTGACACTGTTCTAGGATCTGGATATGGACAGGTGAACAAGCCAAATCAGAGTCTTGCTTTGTTCAAATAAAATGGTTTGTGTTTTTAAGTCGCCAAAGGTAGAATGAATTTTTCTAACAATTATATGACTTTAAAAAATTTTAAGAGGAAAGAAAATGAATCATCTTTTTTTCCAGAGTAACCTAAGATGCATGATTGGAGAAATGTCATTTTATAGAACTGTGCCTTATTTACAAAGGGCTTCTGACAAAAATGTAGAACCTTGAATCTGAGCACACCAGGAAGGCAAGGTAGTCAGTCAGGTGGGTGGCCTGAAGAAAGAGCAGAGTGAGGTGCACTGGTGTTCAAGTGTAGGTTGGACCATACGCAACCATCTTAGTGACCAACTTAGTGACCACTGCAACCACCAGTGATGTTGCTTCACAGCTTCTTCTAATCCAGTGAGAGAACTGCTGGAAGGTACTCAGCATTCAGGGAATGCTTACAGAACTGCTATGTCTTTGTGTCCTCTTCTCTTTCTGGACCTTCCTAGTCAACCTCTTTCCTACCATCATGATCTTTTCCCTCTTGGGCTTCTGACTCAACACACTTACCTTCTTTCCTGCCTCTTGCCTTTAATTTCCATCCTTGGGTTCTGAGCGATGCTTCTCCCCTGTGGCAGTACTGAGCATATGTAACAAATGACCTCTTTCTGACAGAACCCGGGATACATGACACCTATGGATAGCCTATCGGTAACTCTTCCAACCAGGCCACGCCTAGAGAGTCCCAGATAATGACAGCAAAAAGGACACTGTGGTTCGTTGAACATGTTGGCAGCTCCTGGGTTCATGTTGATTCCTCTCCTGAAGAACCAGGCCTACACACTAGCAACCATGTCTAAGGGACCTGCAGTAGGCATTGATCTTGACACCAACTACACCTGTGTGGGTGTCTTCCAGCATAGAAAGGTGGAGATAATTGCCAACAATCAGGGGAACTGAACCACACCAAGCTATGTCACTTTTACTGACACCAAACGATTGATCAGTGATGCTGCAAAGAATCAGGTTGCGATGAACCCCACTAACACAGTTTTTGATGCCAAACGTCTGATTAGACATAGATTTGATGATGCTATTGTCCAGTCAGACATGAAGCATTGGCCTTTCACTGTGGTGAATGATGTAGGTAGGCCTGAAGTCCAAGTAGAGTACAAAGGGGAGACCAAAGGTTTCTACCCAGAGGAGTTATCTTCTATGGTTCCAACAAAGATGAAGGAAATCGCAGAAGCCTATCTTGGGAAGACTGTTACCAAAGCTGTAGTCACAGTGCCACCTTACTTTAACGACTCTCAGTGTCAGACAACAAAAGATGCTGGAACCATGGCTGGTCTCAACGAGCCAACTGCTGCCACTATTGCTTATGGCTTAGACAAGAAGTTCAGTGCTGAAAGGAATGTGCTGATTTTTTATTTAGGAGATAGCACTTTTTATGTGTCAGTCTTTACTATTGAGGATGGGATCTTTAAAGTCAAATCTACAGCAGGAGACACCCATTTAGGTAGAGAAGACTTTGACAACCATTTCATTGCTGAGTTCAAATGCAAGCATAAGAAGGACATCAGAGAGAACAAGAGAGCTGTCCATCATCTGTGTACTGCTTGTGGGCGAGGTAAGCATACCCTCTCTTCTAACACTCGGAACAGCATCAAGATCAAAGAGCTGAATGCTGACCTGTTTGGTGGCCCTCTGGACCCTGTAGAAAAAGCCCTTCGAGATCCCAAACTGGACAAGTCATAGATCAATAACATTGTCCTGTGCTTCTTCAATGGGAAAGATCTAAATAAGAGCATCGACCCTGATGAACCTGTTGCTTATGGTGCCACTGTCCAGGCAGCCATCCTATCTGGAGACAAGTCTGAAAAAGTTCAAGATTTGCTGCTCTTGGATGTCACTCTTTCCCTGGGTGTAGAAACTGCTGGCGGAGTCATGACTGTCCTTATCAAGTGCAATACTACCATTCCTACCAAGGAGACACAGACCTTCACCACCTACTCTGATAACCAGCCTGGTGTGCTCATTCAGGTGTTTGAAGGTGAGTGAGCCATGACCAAGGACAACAACCCTGTTGGCAAGTTTGAACTCACAGGCATCCCTCCTGCACCCAGTGGTGGTCCTCAGATTGAAGTCACTTTTGATACTGATGCAATGGCGTCCTCAATATTTCTGCTGTGGACAGAGTGCAGGAAAAGAGAACACAATTACCATCACCGGTGACAAGGGCTGCTTGAGGAAGGAGGACATTGAGCGGCTGGTCCAGGAAGCAGAGAAGTACACAGCTGGAGATGAGAAGCAGAGGGGTGAAATGTCATCCAAGAATTTGCTGGAGTCCTTTGCATTCAACATGAAAGCAACTGTTGAAGATGAGAAACTTCAGGGCAAGATCAAGGATGAAGATAAACAGAAGATTCTGGACAAGTGTAATGAGATCATCAGTTGGCTGGGTCAGTCAGAGAAGGAAGAGTTTGAACATCTAACAGAAAGAGCTGGAGAAAGTCTGCAACCCCATCAGTACCAAGCTGTACCAGAGTGCAAGAGGCATGCCAGGATGAATGCCTGGGGGGTTCCCTGGTGGAGGAGCTCCTCCCTCTGGTGGTGTTTCCTCTGGGCCCACCATTGAAGAGATGATTAAGTCAACCCAAATATAGATGTAACATTGCTCCACACAGTAAAACATCGAAGGACCCAAATTTAGCAAATTTTGTAGCAGTCTAAAAGTTGAGCTGCTATACTGGGCATTCTTAATACTTGAATATGGGACATGTGGTGCATAGGGAAGGAAGTTAACATTTCACTTTATAAGCATTGTATAGTACGTGGAAAATGCAATGTCCTAAATGAAAATATTTAAAATTTGGCACCCTCCCCCACAAAAAGAAAGGAGCTGTCCAGAAATGGAAAACAAAGCTTGAGGTGCAAAATGAAATACATGAATATAAATATGGCTGTCTGCTATCACCCCCAAATAACTGGGAGTGATGCTAAGTCTTTCTGTAGCTTTTCACTCAATGACACACCATGTGTCACAATTAAGGAGGGATTCTTGAGGCTCCTGCTTCCTCCTCATAAAATTCAAGCATTGTCATTAATGTCATTGTTACAATAAAACATTACATTCAGTTTATCAATTGTCATCCCTTCATATTCATTAGAATTTTTTTCTTTATTTTTGGTAGTACTGGAGATTGAACTCAGGGCCTCATGCTTGCTAGGCAAGTGCTCTACCATTTGAACTATGCTCCCAATCCTTTTGGTTTTAGTTGTTTTTCAAATAGGGTCTTGTGCTTTTGCCCAGGTTGGCCTCAAATGGTGATTCTCTTACTCCTCTCCCTCAAGTAGCTGGGATTACAGACATATACGACCATGGCTTACTTGTTTTTCAGATAAAATCTAACTTTTGCTTGAACTTGCCTCAAACTACCATCCTCTATCTCCACCTCCTGACAAGCTGGAATTACAGTTGTGTGTCACCACAAACTGGCCCATGTTAGGATTTTTAACATATGCTAACCCACAGGTAAATATTCAATAGAATGAGCAGCTTTTATCTGTGGCTATTGCCCAATATAACATAAGATGGTGCTCACCACTCGTTCTGTGAAAAGACTACCTCAACTCCCTGATTCCTGACCGGGGGTTCTAGAACCAGGCAATCATGAAAAGATGGCTACATTTATTTTCCAAACTATTAAAAATGGTTTCATATTATTTTTTATTAATCTTTATGAGACTTGCACTCATTTGTATGTCATGTTTAGAATCTTTAACTCTCTAAGACTAGAAAGTAAATGAAAGAAACCCGCAGCAATGAAATTTAGGACTCATGGCAAAGTATGGGAAGGACTCACCATGTATATTTCACCAAAGGTACAGTAATGAGTCAAGATGTGTGTAAAGGGTCTGGAAGAGCCCTACGAGATCTTTTACTATACTTACCTGGAATTACATTGGTGTAAGAAGTGAAAGTGCACAGTGAATGGGCAAATGAAACACTGAATTTTATCAACTAAATCCACAGCCCAGCCACCCCATCCTCAGTTGAAACTCACGCCTTAGTAAAGCCTATGATCTCCCAGCCTGAGAGCATGATAATCACGTCACTGCTCTCCAGAGTGAGCTGTTGTTCATCCATAAACTGTTGGTTTTCTCCGTAGCCATCAGCCTTTCACTGCTGTCTAGCTTACTCTGCATCTCTTCACAATCTCAGAGTGACAGAAGCTGCTGTCCAGATCCTGTGCCCTCTAGCCTCTAGGTGAGGACTATGCATTGAGGCCATATTTCCAGGCTAAGATGCTCCAGCTTCCATTTGCAGGGACAGTCACTTTAGTTCCAACTTTGCCCTTTCTCTGCTCCCCATGCCTACGTCTTCCCGGGGGAAAGTGATTTACCTAATTCAGAGTTTAGAAAGAGCACTTGTCCACATGAACTTGTGCTCCTCTGTGCTCTGTGTCTCAGGGGGCCGCTCGCTGGTGAATAAGTCTGTGTAATTCAGCAAGCAGTGTGACATTGTAAGTCTTGTTTTCCTTTATCTGTCAGTCTTATTGAAATAAAGCTGATATTTCACTCTCCATCTGCTAAACCCCGTGTCTTCCTCAGTGAGTTCTGAAAGGAGTTAGTGCAGAAATAGTGATTAGTAGGGTCCCTCAAACTCTGACAGAGAGAGAGAGAGAGAGAGAGAGAGAGAGAGAGAGAGAGAGAGAGAGAGAATAGGAGGGAAGGGGAGGGAAGGGGAAGAGAGAGAGGAAGGAAACAGATATTTGGTGAGGCAGGAACTTTAAAAAGTGAAGGAGGTGGAGGTACGTATAAAAGCAGGAGCAGGACACAATGCAATTCAAGTAAATTGTGTAGTCATTCACTTATTCAACAGGCAGACAGGTGGACTCAAACCAGGCATGTAAACCATGCCAAAAGTGTTAATGGAAATCACTGAAGGATTTAAAGCAGGGGAGATGCCCGGTCTGAGTTGCAGTTTATAAAAGTCCTCAGGTGGAAGGAAGGAGAGAGAGAGAGAGAGAGAGAGAGTGTGTGTGTGAGAATGTGTGTGTGTGTGTTTTAATGATTTCCAGGAAGTGTGGCTACAGGTCATTGTGTAAGGATAAGGAAGTGTTTCTGGCTGGGAACTGATGAGAAGAGGCATGTGAAGCTGTTACTGGCTTCTTTGGTGAGACCATGCCAGTGCTCTGGGAAAGACCAGATAGCTGAGTCAAGTTGGATAGAGACTAGACTCTGGCTGTCCCAGATTCATGGCTGAAATGAAGCTGCCAATACAAGCTTAGCTGGAGATGGCTGTGCAGTAGGGTAGTCCATAGGTGCTTGCAGTGGACGTGAGCTTTTTTCAAGAATAGCTTTAGTGTCCACCTTCTTTTCTCTCTCTTTTTTTAGAGTTGTACAAAGGGGCTCATTGTGATACTTCCATATGTGCATATAATGTACTTTGATCAAACTCACTGCCTCTATTACACTCTCTTATTTTCCTAATGTCCACCTTCCAGAGAAGATATGTCACCTTGAATTTATGAGATATTTCTTTATTTTTGTGTTTACTAGGGTTTTAACTCAGAGCTGCAAGCTTGCTAGGCAAGTGCTTTACAGCTTGAGCCACACCTATATCTTGCTTTTTGCCCAGGCCATACTGGCCTGAAATTCTCCTATTTTAAGCTTCTTGCTACCACTGGGAATGACAGGCAGCTCTGTTGAGACAGAAAATACTTTAGTTGTCTAGGGGGTGGAGCAGAGAGTGACTGCTAATGTACTAATAGGTATGGAGCTGGGGTGGTAATATTCCAAAAGTGATGGTAGGATGCACACAACTCTGAATGTACAAAACACCACTGAACCACATAGTGTAAATGGGTTAAATTGTACAGCAGTATGTGACATCAATCTCAAAGGTATTACATTTTTCAAAGTTAATATGCTTAATATACTTAGAATCTCCTTTTCTTCCTTCCTTGTTCCTTTTCTTCTTCCTTCCTGTCCTCCCTTATCCCCTCCTTTTTGATAAGCTTAAGTTATGCTTAGTCCATGAATTAAGGCATAATTACATTGTCAGTTGGGTAATAAGAAAAGAGAGCAAGCCAAAAGTGAAAAATTCATTTAATCATAAGAACTACAAAAAGAGAGAGTATTTGAAGTTTTAACAAGTCTCCTTAATGACACATTCTTTTCTATTCAACATGTATTAATCAAACATTTAGGGCACTGTATTAGGTGCTATTTTATGATTTTAAAGCAACATACATGGTTTTTTTTTGTAGCATATACCTGAGACCAAGTTTCAAATGTTTTATAAGCAGTCTGTCAAGGCAACCTCTTCCTTTTCTTCTAGCAAGTAGTTTATAGTCGCTGACTTTGGTCTATCATAAATGCTTAAAAAGATAAAACACACATATTTGGAAAACCTTGATATTTACACAAATGCAAAAACAATTTGTTAGAAAATTTATAAAATTATGTGTGTGTGTGTATGTGTGTGTGTGTTGAACAGTGTCCAAGTTTATCTGACAGTACTCTTGGAGATCTTAGAACCACAAATAGAGGGGTGTGGAGAAGCTAGGGTGGCCTTTCTTGGCTCTTCTCACCACCAGTGGGGATTACAGAGATACTTTGGTTTTGCAGGGCTGAAAGCTTGACCCACCTGGGCTTAGTAGGTCACATTAGCCCAATGATTCCTGCGGAAATTGGCTAATTTTGAAATAGCTCTCAGGGACTCAGCTGTCAGAACCTACCTCAGAACCTGGGATCAGTGTAACTTTAAAGTGTTGTATGAGGTTCACCTCCAGATCCTCAGGACCTGCAACTCAGGAGGGTCAGTTGGTGCCTAAAATGCCAGAAGATTTGCAAAACACGATCTGTGACTGAACTCAGGTCTGCTATGGATCTCCAAGGTCCACTTAAAGGTGAAGAGAGCTGGAACTTTAAAATTCAGAAATTTTGCAGGCTAGAAAGAATTCTTTGGACCTGTTATAATTTGTGCCTAGGCTTTGAGAACTTAATTAAGTTGGATTCTGTAGATAAGGCTTATGGGCAAGAAAAGTAGCTCTTCATCTCATCTGTAAGGATCATTTCTTTCATTCCTCCTTGGAAGGTCTGCCCAGTTTTCTTCTTCCTGGACTTAGCAATGACACGGTAAAAACGATCCAGGAGAAAAGGTGTCAATACATATTCCCATCAGATTTTACTCCTATGGAATTCAAAACACATTTAGAGGAAGTAGAATTTTCCTGGGGAGGATAATGCAAATTTAAAACAAGAATAAAAGGAAACAAATAAGTAAGCCATTAAAACATATGCATTGTTTTGGGCTAAAAAAGTTTTTGTTTTTTTTTTTCTATTCAGAGTCTGAATTTTCCTTATTATTTACTAACATTTATGATTCCTTTAGTGTCTTATTCTCATTCTCTTATTCAACCTTTGAGTAATTATACTTTGCCAGACAAACATCTAAAATTTTGTTATGTAACTTAAAAATTTTGAAAGGGAGTGAAGGAGAAAAATGGAAGAATGGAACAAGAAAGTCAAACAACAAGGCCGTGTACACGCCCATTCCCTCTTGATTTTTTATTATCCTCTTTAATTTAATCACTTGGATATCTTTTAGAGATCCTCCCTTCACAAGGGAGGAAGTGGGCTCCATGGATTTCAACAAAACAGCATCCTTTGTGGAGAAAGAAAACTTTGAACAATAGATGTCTGTTTCAAAAACTAGTACCAATGTTCTGAAAGTACTAATTTGCTTTTAGCCACACAACAAAGGCTGATTTGCCTCCTTTCCAGTTGATTCAATGGTTTACTGGAGCTTTAAAAACACATTACATAAATCTTTAGAAATCTTTTGTGAGGATGAATTCAATGTTTTTTGAGCAGTGATTCTTTGCTCTCATGATTCAAGGCAAGGAGACAGCACTCAGACTTACTGATTCAGGGTAAGTGTTGATATTCTATTCATTTTTTTCAAGGTCAATACCACATAAGGACTTCCTTGTCCTGAAGAGACCTGATGTGTTGTCTTGTTCTGAAACAAGTCTCACTTGCAGATGTGACTCATTTAGTGCAAACTTATTTTGAATGTAATAAAAGGATTTGTACAGAGCTGTTCCTCCACTTATGATGAGGTTACATCCTGATAAACCCATCATAGGTTGAAAATGTCATTAAATTGGAAATGCATTGGTCACACTTCACCTGCTGAGCCTCATAGCTTAGCAACACAGTGCACTGTTGGGTTTAGGTGTTTCCCTCCATGGTCAGGTGACTGACTAGGAGCTGTGGCTCTCTGCTACTGCCCAGCATCAAGAGACAGTGTTATACTGTGTATTATTAGCCTGGGAAAGATGGTACAGGGTCAAAATTCAAAAGGCAATTTCTACTGAGTGTGCATTGCACCCACACTGTGGTAAGGTAAAAACTGTAAGTCAAACCATCACAGGTAGGGGACTGTGCATGTATACTTAAGACTCTAATCATTTAAAAGTACAATTATTTCTTGTTTTCCAAGAACTACAGCAAACTAAAAATCTATTAATTTGTGTCAGTGGCTCTTTTCAAGTGTTCCTAAAGAACTTAGGTCTTTGAGGTGGCACTATGACCACCATCAGTGATTGGAATTTGGCTCTGTCCTCTTACCTTTGCCATTTTCTGTGGAGTTCTATGGTACTTACAGAGTCCCTTTGTAGCTGTTGAGCAAGTATTGCTTCAGGGTTACTGATGCATGAAACTTATGCCTAAGGTATCACCATTCCAAGCAATGAGCTAAGATTTCTGCTGATATGTCCATATTCTCCCGAGTAAGACATCCATCTCTTTCCCAGCCTGTATTGACATGTCAGGTATTCCTGTGGTCCAGATCAGAGCCAGAATGGCAGTGTCTGAGGGAGTGGCCATGCAGGAAGGCAGATAGCTAGGCAATCCACCACTCACTGGGTTAATATTCAGCACCTGCTGTTCACAAGGCTTTATACCATGACAGACTGTGTATGATAAGTCTCACATAAGTCCATTCCCATTGTTAGCTTTTCTGTTCTTCCTGACAAAGGAAATCATCAAGTACGCAGACTTTGGTGAAAGACCCATGCCTTTCACCTTGTTCTACGAGTTCTCCAGTGGCTACTGATGTTTTTTTGTTGGCTGACTGGTGACCTCTGATAGGATATTGTCTTTCTGAGAATTTGCATGAGATGAAAAAAATCCATGAGTTTGGTCAGAAACAGGCAGTAGCTATTGTTTCCATGTAGATCTCTTTTCTGGATGGAAGGAAAGTATAGGATTATGGCCACAGACCCCAAAGATGACACCAGGGTGTAGACAGAACAAGGGCCTGATATGAGGTACAACTGTGTGCAAGGCAGAACGGAGAGGGACCCAGAATGACCATGGCATATCCACTCAAAGTTTGGGTGCTGCATGGGCCAGCCACTTCTCAGACAGTTCATCCTGAATAACTATATGGAAAAGAAAGGAGAAAATTGTATATAGCCAAGTCAATGAAAAAGACAGGATTGCCCTACTTTCAGGAAAAATAAAGTAAGGGAATTTCAATGTTTTTAAGAAGTAGGGATTTTTGGCTGGAAGTGTGGCTCAAGTGGCAGAGCTCTTCCTAACAAATGCAAGGCTCTGAGTTCAAACCTCATTACTGCCCCTCCCAAAAAAGAAGAAGAAATAGGGATTTTTATGTAGAATCATCCAAGAATAATATATTTACAACTTTTATGGCCTTGATTTGTGTTAATTATGCTATTATTCACACAGAAAATGAAAATTGTTCTACTTTGGCCCATTGAGACACACGTTGTTGACTGTGTTTGGGACAAGCAATATGATCAGTTATGCAAACAATAAGAAGAGAATCAAGACCAGAGCACAGATGCTCATCTGGAGAGATGGAGCCGAGCTGGCCTGGCCTTTCAGCATGCATTCAACCCTGGACCAGGACCCGTTGTTGGGCAGTGGTGCGATGTCTGCCACATTGCACATGACATTGTAGACATCCACAGATCTGATTGGAGCAGCTCTGAAGTTGGATTTGAAATCTAAAAGGGAAAGGCAAACAAATAAGCTGTTATGGTGGACCACAAGCAGAAAAGGATTGGATCGCAACAAGGAGGAATTCCACACAGGCTGCAGGCAACTTTGGGATTGGAAAAGCATCTCCGTCAATGGGCGTGGCCAAGTGATCGTGAATGTGGAAGAGTATCTGGAAGGCTGTAGATAATGAAAGGAAGTAGCTGTCTATGACACATAGAGATGAGACTCTTTAAAAGACAAATCAACAAGCAGATTTTCTTTAACTGAGCTGTCTGTGACAATAGAGCCTTCCTGCAGGGGCAGAGGACCAGCAGAAGCCATTCATTCTACTTCTGCAGAGCACAGGACTGCTGGTGTGATAAGACTGATTATCTTGCTGGGCTCCCCTTAAATGGTATGTTTATCTTCTAGAACACCTATCTAGCCAGGACTGAGAGCTAGGGTGCCAATTCTGCTGCAGAGGACCCCCAGCAACTCAAGAATGTTTCTCTGTCTTCCTGTCACATCCAGGTCACAGGTTGTGATAGAATATGAAGCTATGTAAGTTTCCTGGGTGCTAGTGGCTCACCAGCAATGCAATGGTTTTCTAAATTTGTTTGGAAGATCAATGGAACATTCCCTGGGAGCCTTTCAGGGAAAATAACTTAGCCATGAGGGAAATGAGCAAATGAGGGAAATGATCCCTGGTATTGGAGCCAGGGATCCCAGGAAGGCTCTGAGATCTCATGTAGGATAGCTTTGTGCCTCCACCCAGAGCATGCACCAACCTGGGCACTGTTATAGAAGTAGAAAGTGCAGTCACTGGAGGAGGCTCTGTAAGGGATTTTAATTGAGTTCCCTCTCTTCTCCGTGGGAGGCTAGTAGGACACTGAATACAAAGCATTGTCCATTTAAAGAGTGAATGCAAAAATGTAATAATATACATATGCAACTTCGCTTTTAGGCCCCAAACAAAATAATGCCCAAAGCTACAGTAAGGCTGATTTCAGGGTGTGTGCATGTATGTGGGGATTTATTCATCAATTAAGACCTGTACTTTTAGTTCATCTAAGATTCTTTTAAAGGAAATGGTTGGGTTGGGGGCTGCCAAGTCAAGTTTTCTATCTTCAAACATAATTTTTGTAATCACTTTGCTAAAATGATCACATTTGCTTTATTTTAAAAGCATGCAGGGGCTGGTGGAGTGACTCAAGCAGTAAGAGCACCCGCCTAGTAAGTGTGAGGCCTTCAGTTCAAACCTCAGTGACACCAAAAAAAAAAAAAAAATTAAAAAAAAAACATGCAAGCAATAATAGCAACTATATTCTGGAAGTACCAACACCAAATTCTGCTCCTGGAATTATAAAGACGGAAGGAAGTTATACATAGAAAACTCTGCCACACAGTGTGTTAGATCCAGGGCAACTTCTCCAGTGAAGGGTTTTGCTCACTGTGAAGAATTCAAGATGAATTCAGTATAAAGAGGTGTGTGCAGTTGTCTATTGGAAATGGGCATGGGAGTGGTACCTAAGTTACACTTGCAAATGCACAGTATATGTTCCATAAATGATAAACAGAATAAATGCCAGCAAAGAAAAACTTTGGATTGAAAATATTCACCTTATAAATTATTTGGAAGGTTTGTTTTTCTTTTGAAACAGGGAGGATAAGGGTCATCATGACTTCAAAGTAAAAAATACTTTAAAGAAAAATCTGAACCTGCGTGGAGGGGAGAATGTAGGGGCTGCCCCAAGATCCCAATTCCTCTAATGTCAAGGCAAAGTGCACAACTAGATGAGAACAGTGGTGATATTTCCCCATCAGAAGAATCTACATCAGCATGAGAAACCAATGGAAAGTTTGTCCCAAAGATATGGATGCAACTCCTCTCTCTCCTCCTGTCTTGCCTAAATGTGGCTGCCATACTACGCACTACATGTGGCTATGTCCTTGTCACGTGTGTGGGTGGAGGGCATGCAAAATGTCCTTCCCCAATCTTTTTTAAAAAATCCACCTTTTTTTAACAATTCACTGCAAAAATTGATATTAGGCTCTTCTGACAAAAGTGTTAGAGAAGATTATGGCTTTTTTGCATTGCAATTACAAAATCAAATCCTGTGCACATGAGTAGGAAGGAGAATTGAGTTTTCTTTCTCATCTAGTCCATGGCTTCCTGTTCTGCAGGGAGAAACATTTGGACCCAATGCAAAGATGATCTAGGCTGGACAAAAAGCTTCTAGAAAATTCTTGAATAACCAAGCAATACCCCGTCCAATTTGGGAGGACCCCAACAAGCTCAGTAGCTCAAGATGACTTTTTGAACCTGGGTTGGGAGTCCAAGTTATTCCCATGGTTTAAATTCTTTCAGATATTTAAAATGTGTCTATTGGGTGGGGATGTAGCCCAGTGGAAGAGTGCTTGCATAGCATAAGCAACACCCTGTATTTGATCCCCAGTACTGCAATAGGAAAAAAAATGTTTCCTAAAGAGAGAAGGTTCTGCAGGTTCATGCTGTACCTAGCCACCTGGGGCTGCTTTCTAAGAGAGGTTTGCTAGTTCACAGTAACTCACTGAATCATACTCCCCCTGTCTTATCTTGAATATGGAGTTCTCTAGGGCAAGAATATGTTGTTCAAATTAGAAACTGGGATTAACCAGAGAGAGGCTATCTTCAGAATTATTTCCCTTTCTCTTTGCTGGCCCAGACTTTCTGACTTTGGAGGCTGGTGTGTGGGCAGCTGTAATGACGCCCTGCTTCCTCCCTAAGCAACACACAGAGACGATTAACCAGGAGGGATGCACCTTTATCTCCAAGTGCAGCTAGATGGTTATTAAATGCCTCAGTCTTAAATTTTCTTCTGAGTAAACAGTCAGTGTGTAAAGCTGTTTAATCTTTCATGAGAATTGAAGCCAGGAACGTGATGGTTTGCGGGAGGCTCTGAGGGCTACATCTGGCTGGAAACATTTTGCAATTAGCCCAGTCCATTTTCATCAGGGGTCGCCTTTCAGTTTGTAAAAGGTTGAGAGCTTTTAGTTTTAAAGAAGCAGAGGATGGAGGCCTCCGTTAATGGACAAACTCGCCCTGCTGAATTTAGCTCTAAGTTAATGCAGTTTGGGTAGTTCGTTTAGAAGTTTTGGTGTGGGGCTAGATTTAAAATATGCGGGAGACCCTTTTGCTCACTCCTTCAACAGACAACTGCTTTGTATTTGTGATCTTACTTCCCTGTTCTGGGGAAGGATGAGGTCTGCGTTTGAGTGAAAGCCCTGGTGACTGTTTTTCCATATGAAGGCCGTGGCCCTGGAACGTCTCCTACCTAATCTATAGTTGACCTCTACAAAGTCCTCCAGGCTCTAATTCCTCTGGCTTTGGAACTCTGCATACTGACCTGGGGACTGGCCAACAGGAAGTACCTGTTAACTTTCTCAGCCCAATGTCATGAGCTCAGCTAGTGCTCTAGAAATGTTTGCTGCCACTGGTTCTGACGCTCACTTTGGGACTTGGGAACTTGGATCATATATGAGAAAGGATGTGGACTAATGTGTTCCCCAAGCTTAGCCTTTCAGAGGCATTTATGGCATTTACAGAAATTGATACTACATGATGGTTCTTAACAGTTATTTTGTGGAGAGTAGAGTAAACCAAGACAGACCAAATGAGATGAGTATGTTGACATGTCTTTGGTCTTCACACTTCAAAGAAAAGAGCAGAGCTTCTAAGTGTGATGCCTAACCTATAAACTGAAAGGAAAGTGTGGACTTTCTTGGGCTGAAACATTTTGATCAGCGCCCAGAAAAAGGCATTTGAAATATAAATATCGGGTAATTATATTTAATAAAGGAGGATGGACAGAAGTGGAATGAAGAGTAGCTCATGAACCAGCCAACTGATGGTTGATAGCTATTGGATGCTGTTTTCTGTTTTGGAAAGAATGGGGTATTCAGTAGTATTATGTTCATTTGAATATTTGATAAAAATTTTCAGATTGTGAATTTACAATGCCTTATCAATAAATCAAATAACCAAATAGACCCTCTCTGTCTCTCCTTTCTTCTAGCCCTTTGAAATATAATCAGATAAAGGAAGCTTCAGTAAATTTGCTTTTACCCAAGACATCTCTAGTCATTCTGGCTCATTTTCAAAGTCAATCTCAAGGTCATTTCCAAGCCTGCCTTTGAGCACATCCTAGCTTCTGGTTGGGCCCTAAAGTGAATGAACCCCACAGGGCTGGGTGCTCTAGACAGGGAGGGACTGTGAAAGAATCAGACCCCGTGAAGGGGTCATGCCAACTCTGAGCCTCACAGCTGTCAGCAGCCTGATGTCCGATAAGCTTTTCTGGACATCAGATAGCTGTGAAATAATGTTTTGATGAATTAAGTAAAAAATGAATCACAGACATGTGGAATACATTTTCTGCACTGCACTCAGGATTTAAAATTTACAAGGAAAAGTATTTGGCCACAACTGCCAAACCCCAGCCACATTTGAAAGGAAGCCAGCAAGATGTTTCATGGAGAGCGGCTGGATTTGCTCAGCTTGGCTCATAAAGAGAGTCCATAAAGAAATCACTCCAGCCTCTCCTGGCGCGATTAGTCCCTGTTAGAGATACTTCCGTGCAATGTGACTAAGTGTATTCGGTCATTTCCTTGCCTACCAGGTCCAAAGGCCAGGAAGATGCCCCTCATGTCCATGAGTTCATTGTCATATCCATGCCATCCACGCTGCCAGCCTTCCCTCTTGCCAGTGCTGTTCATCCAAAATGGAAGCATCTCCCGATTCTGAAATGAAGCAATGACATTGCACTGCACATCAACAATTGTGATGGGTGGGCCTTTGGTCCAAACTGCTCACCCCCACCACGTGGAGATTCTTTTCCTCAGCATCCCTGACTGGGGTCATTCAACCTCAACTGGATCACTTCCCCAGGTAACTCTGATCTTTGATGGCAGCCTCTTAAAGTGCTGAAGAGCTCTGGTTAAAATGGTATTTTCTTACACTGAGCTCAACTCTATCTTGTAATTGGTTTTAGAGGCACTAAATAAATACAGCAAGATAGAGACAGAAAGGATGTTGAAGTGAATTTGTGGTATAATAAAAATATATATTTGGTTTTGGTCCCAGGTTCTTGACATAGAGCTCCTAAAACCCTTGGAATTTCCTGAGTAACAGGAGCATTTTTTGTTACTCATAAGGAGCCTCCTTTTATACCAGACTTTATGCTAATGAGTCATTGGGTTGGGCCGCTAGACAGCTTAAGGATGGAGTTGGTCACCCTAAGAACAAACTTCATCGTTAGAAGCCTAGAACTTTCAGTCTTGTACCCCAGAGGGGGAGGGTAAAGGCACTGGATTTTTAGTTCAGTCACATGACCAATGATCTAATCACTCATGCCTACACAATGACACCACTATAGAACCCTGAAGGACATTGGTTCTATAGGAATGGAAACTCTGTGCCCCTCACCTTCCATACTTCGCCATATGCATCACTTCCAGTTGGCTGTTCCCAAGTTGTATAGTTTATAATAAAACTATAATCACAAGTACAGCACTTTCCCTACATTCTAGTCAATTACCAAACCTGAAGCCGGCTGGTGAGTACCCTTGAATGTGTAGCCAAATCAGACACAAGTGCTGGTATCCTGGGGACCCAGGACTTGTGCATGGTGTCTGACATGAAGCCTGTCTTCTGGGACTGAATCCCACAACCTGTGAGGACTGATCTAACTCCAGATATTAATATCAGGAGCGAATTGAATTGTAAGATTCTCCAGCTGATGTTGGAGAAGTGTGGTTGGAAACACAACATCTATCTAGCCACCTCATTTTACTAGCAAGGCAACCAAAGCCCCTTCCACCATACATACCATCCCTGTCCTTCTTTCCTTCTGAGTCCACTGGCAGGAGCCATTCAGAATAATCCATCTCTTCTCCATGTATTCAAACATTTAAAGATGCACCCATGTTCCTCTTAGCCAGGTCTTGTTCCCTTAATTTCCCTCAATCACTCTTCACTTGGGATGGGTTCCAGAACCATCACTTCTTTATCCACTTCAGGATCACATTTTCATAGACTACAGATGCTTGCTTGTTGAGAAACAAGGGGCTTCAACAAGATTTTGTGAATCCTGAAAAGGCTACAACCTGTGAACACAACCTTAGCCATCTGTTGCCTACTAATCCTTCATTTTTGATATTCCATTCATCTTCCTGCTAAGCAGAGTATCACAAATATTTCAAGTGCAGGAGGTAGAATTGGTTGGTCATGATGAATGAGTGGAATCAAAATAACAATACTGTTTCTCCCAATTTATAGTTGAAGAAACTATGACACAGAGAGATTAAGAGACACTCTCAGAGTCACAGAGCTAGTGAGGGGTAGTGCTGACCCTCAAACCCAAGTCTGTCTCTTTATCCTTGTGCAACTTCTACCACCCCACAGGTCGGGGTCACTGCAGTGCTCCTGTTGGACCTGGACAATGAACTGTTCTCCTGTCCCCTGTGTCTTCACCCATTGAGCCTGGCCAGGCGTAAAGTAGAGAGATGAGATTGTGGCATTGGGTTGGCCGTGGAGTTAACTTCAAGTTTTCTGCTTTCCAGACCTGTGATCCTGGCAATTTACTTAACTTCTCTGGGCTTCATTTTCCTTGCTGGATGTGGGATAATACCCACCTTTCAGGGTTTTGGAAGGTTGACATGACTGTGTGCTCAGTACCTGACACACAGTAGGTGCTCAATAAATGGCTGTGGTCTGGACACCAGATGCCACTAGCTGTGGAGCGAGATACTCTGGATGCGAGGTTAAACTTTGCCTTGCTTATTTAGCTGTCATACCACGCTGCACACCCATCCGGTCTCACCCCATAAATCGCTCCCCAGCATTCCTGCTTTCCAAATTGCACCATTTCATTGACTCTCTGTTTCCTGAATTTCCATCATCCCTTGTCCCTCCTTCTCCAGCTGTAGCTTGTAGTTTTCCATAGAGGGGTCTTCTGAACTTACTGCATTTCTAACTTCCAATACTGGTTTTTGTTCTTCTGTCTATGGTGAGGATCACAGCTCCCAATTTAGCTTCATCAGCTAACTTAATGTGTGCTTTTTCTGCTCAGTCTACACAGCAGTGATGCCAGAAACTCTAAGTAGAACATTTTTTGTTATTAATGACCTTACTAATTATGAGCCTGATGGTATGTGTGTTCCCAGTGACAAATGGACAAGTCAAAGGAATTGAAGACAGACTTTCTGATTAAAGAATTATAATTTAAAAAGCCATTTATTTATTTATTTCTTCCACAAATAGCCATGTCCAACATGAAGGTAATTGGGGATCTGTCTGGTCATAGGCAAATCCATTAGTTTTTATTAAAATGACCAGTTGCTTCAGGAAAACAACTGTTCTTACTGATTTAAAATAATAACCTGTCTGTGTTATAAGGTAACTGATTCCTCTATGTGACTGGACAGATGGTGACACACATCTGTGTGTGTTCATGATTTTCTTCCTTTACCTCTCCTGGGGCTTTGGTGTCTTTGTATTGCACCGGCATTATTGTCCCAAGGCTTGCTACATGCTGCTGAAGTGCATGTCACACGCTTGCCTCTAGGAGTCCTGTTTGGGAATCCCTAGCCCAGGCATCCTCCGGCTGCTAGTTGACCCATTCAGACCATAGCAGACCCATGGACTGCCATAGTGGCACCTAGTGACATCCTGGGGAGGTACCTGACCTTCCACTTTTGGTCAAAAGTGAGAAAAAAGGATAGTGTGTGTGTGTGTGTGTGTGTGTGTGTGTGTGTGTGTGGCAGTAGGGTGACAGAGAGGAAAGACCACATATGAAGTGCTAATCACAAGGATGGGGATGTCACTAAGGTTCTGCAGTGACAGGACCCTTGGGAAGGCCTGACTCTGAGGAAGCCCTGAGAGGCTCCGAGACCTTAGATAACCTCACATGGGAAAAGAAGGCCAGAAAAAAGCAGCTGTCAGAGTGAAACACTGCAGGCAAGAGGAACTGGGGGTTTCCTACTCTCCGGGACTCCTTGGGGATGTATCAATCCAGGAAAAGTGTCCAATGGTCCCAGTTTGCTGCTAAGGGAGTTCCAGTATGCAGAACTTCCAGTTTTAAAACCAGGACAGTCCCAGGCAAACCAGGATAAGTTGGCCACTCTGCATTCAACACTGTCTTAGAAATTCAAAGACTGTCATGTGGTGTGATCTGCTCAGCCTCCTAGAACTCCTGGCCCACACATGGGTGGGTGCAGTGCCAGTGCACTCCATGGTGAGCCAATCTAGTCATTTTCCAGGAGGAAGGAACTAGAAATAGGAGCTCCATACGAAGAAGCACCATGAGAAATGGTTGAGTTGACATGGTTTGAACTTGAGTTCTCTCATTTCGGTGCCAGCCCACCATACTGATGTCTAGAAGATCCCGCTTTAATTTGGAATGCCAGGAGAACAATGATGAGGTAAGAGTTATAGTTTTTAGACAATATATTTTTTCAGTCATCTTTAGCATCAAAAAGAAAAAGTAACATTCACGCCTTACCCCAGATCAGAAATCCAGTAAAAAGTGTGTTCAGTTCATGCCAGGGACTGCTTCTTTGACTTCTCCATTTTAGGATTTCTTTGTGGTGCTAAGCTGAGATGTCTGAGGAGGGTAATTAGAAGTAATGAGGTGAGGTGGCCTGACAGTCTATATTCATTGTTTTCTGTTTGCACACAGGCAAGGTACTTTCTTTGGCACAGTCTCAGGGCCTTTAGTTGTTTATCACTGGGAGGGTTGTGTGTGTGGGCGGGGGGCGGGTAGTACTGGGGTTTGAACTCAGGGCAGGCGTTCTCCACCACTTGAGCCACTCTGCCAGCCTCATCATTGTGTTATTTGGCATACATTAGCACAAATATTTCTCACCTGTTCTCCCTTGTTTCTCCTCACTGTAGATCAGAGAGCGGGTTGCTGAGCCTCAGAGAAAAATATCATGAGGAAGCAGAGGGTCAATGGCTACCAGGACAACCTCTGGGCTTAGCTCCTGCACTGCATCTGGAAATGACTTCTCTCTGGGTGGCTGAGGATGCTGACATCTGACCAGAGGGGACTCTCTCTCTTTGCAAGGTCTTGTCTGGTTCCTCTACTTCGACCTAGTTGAATCCTTTCTGCTCTTCTTCGCTTGGAAGCCATAGTCATGACTCCAAGTCCACACTGGTAGATTCTAAGTCTGGCTGTACACAGATAACACTGAGTTTGCCTAGGCTCCACTCTTGGATATTTGCATTCTGGAGGTCAGGGTGAGGCAGGGAACCTCTTCTTAATAATCTCTTCTTAACAATCTCCCCCAGATTGGAGTATACAGTCAGGTGTGGAAACCCCTGGAAATTGTTCACCTGAGTCTACTGTGCACGATGTTAAATGATTATTGTCCTTTCCTGAGGACATGCCATGTTTTTGCTAGTCACCATCCTGAGGTCAAAGACTGCATTTTTCACCCATTTGTGTGGTCTTGGGTGCAGCATGGGACATCCCTCCCAGAAAGTCCACATGACCCCAAAGACAGAATCGGCTTGATCCAATGGACAGAGCCAGGCCAGCCCTTTTCCAGCTGGCATTCCATCCTCATTGGCTGGTGCCCCAGGGTTACTGGTGGTTAACTATTTTGGCTTCCTTTCCTCTTTTCATTCACTGTTGTAGTTTGGATCTGGAATGCCCTCTCCAAAAGCTCATGAGGTAAAGGCTTGGTGTTCGGACTGTGGCACTGCTGGGAGGTGCTGCTCCCTTTAGGAAGTGGGGCCT